TGAACTACCCTCATCCTACTAGAAAACTAGTAAAGTATCTTAAACAACACACTGGCTTGAAGGATGTCACCCTGACCAACCTTTCCTCACCAGATAAAGGCATTCTAATCACAGTGCAAGTGTAGGCAAACTTTAGCAAAGCTTGATGTCTTCTTACCTTACAGTATATTGGCACTATCACACATTGGCACTTTGTACTAAGACGCTCAGAACCTAAAAGTCAGTCAGCTTGGAAGCACTTACAATATGATGTATCATACAGCAAGTCCTGCACAGATTTAAATGCATGAATAATCTACATACAAAACTTTCCCAACATATTTATCTAACTTCTTATTTGCTAGTGTAATTGTATGTCATCTGAGTATAGTAGCATAATTGCCTAATGAAGTCACAATATTGATTATTTTCAAGCACTCTTGAATAGAAAATTATTCCGATTTTCCCAAGGTTAATAAATTTGATGTTTCAGTGCTCTTGCTCCTTGTATTGCTACAGGCAGAATGAGCAGTGTAATAACTGGGCTTACAGATGAAAAATTTGCCTTTAACCACCATTTTACTCCACTTGCTTCGGGTACTATCCAAGGAAAAGAGATAACGGGATGTCAGTTATTTCTTTGTTCTATCAGGGCCCCCTTGTTGATGTTGGACCTGTGAAAAACAGTCAGTTATTTGACTGAGAATTACTGCCTTTTAGTGGTGCACTATGTAAGGAAAACCAACACCTCCTTCAGATTTTCAGTTCACTAGGCTATTATGTCGTTATGTGTGCAGGCTAGAGGGGTCAAATATATTGTAATAATGCTGACTGCAGGGAGTAAACGTAGAGTCAGGGTTCTTTGATGGGCAAGGTCTGAAAAAAGGTACAAAAAACAGGAAAGGATGTTCATTTTTATAACACCTTTTATAGAACCAAAACTGTGCTTGGATTCTCCAAGCGTCCAAGAGACTCTGGGTGTATTTTAGTAAAAGAAGATAATTCAGTTCATATTGCTCATCTGTCACTGCAGGAATTTAAACTTCAAGGTACTTAACCAAATATAAAAATCAGCAGAAGGGGAAATTACGGCTTATAAGATAGCCTTAAAAATGCTCCCTCCCCTCTCCTAACACCTATGTTGACAAACCTGTGTAAAAAAGATGTACATACTTACCTATTTACAGCCCAATCTGGACCAGTCATGTGATAAGGCTCCCCTGCGTCAGCCAGCAACAGCTGCAGGGGAGAGGAGGGAGCACCAACAACAGATGAGCCATAGGAGCCTATGGGTGATATCACTAATCTAGGTTTTACCAGTCATTGTCAAGCTTGCCTTCCTCTCCCTTGCAGCAGCCATTGGCTGACAAAGGGGATCACATATCAACCCAGTTTAAGCTGGAATTCCACTTTAAGGTGAGAATTTTCACCATGGTGGGGCAATAGATCCAATGCATCTAACTTCTGTGTTTATCTTGATGTTACTCAATTTACAGACCCAACATTTGACTCACACAGATCAGAATACTTGGCTCTGACAACTGTTAGAATTGACACATCACCTCATGTAGTACTCCCAACCTCTATGACCTAAATGCTTCACACTTGTACTTACAGTTAAGCTGGCCATCAGCACATAGAATACAGTTCTATCAAGAGTCTTCACTATTCACATTGCATCTCTGGACAAAACTGCTTGTTCTGTTAGTCGATCCTGCAGATGCTCACACACTGTAGTTAGTAGGAGACATTTTATTAGGCGCTCATAGCTGCCATTATACATGTGTCTGCATTAGAACTACAACAAAGAGAGGCAATAACACAGTTGTACCAGTATCTAAGTAGTGAGACCCCTAGAGGCCATACACAGCATATAACATATTGCTACATCCTTTCTCTTTTAAATAAAAGAACAATGAAATATAACAAACACAAAATGGTGAAGTAGAACATAGCTATAAGTTAAATATAATCCTTGAGGTGAGCTGGCTTTCTGATTGTTCTGCCAGCTCGCGTAACATATGAGGTTTCTTCACAGAAATCTTGGTGTTCTTCTGATTCTGGCAGTCTATTTTCTGGGACTGTCTCTCTCTACCTAGAGACCTCCCTATGCTCCTCAGCCGTCCCTGTTTCTTTGTTGCTGGTATTCATAGTCTCATCGCTTTCAGTGTCCATATACTGTTCCCAGGGCCCTGTATCATCTCCTTCTTGTGTTTTTCTCAGATGTCTCCAATTTCTCCTCCATCTTCTTCCTTCCTCTGTTATAATTTCATAGGACCGTGGTCCCAATTTCTGTACAACCTTTGCTTTTTTCCAGTGTTTGTCATATTTGCCTATTGGCTGAATCCGTACATTTTCATTGCTCTGGAGAACAGGCAGATCTTTTGCAGATTTATTATAATAGAAAGCTTGCCTATGTTGATTCTTCACTAGTTTGGCTTTAACATTGCCCACAAGCTTTGGCTTTAGTAGTTGACCTGCAGTTGGTAAGAGAGTCCTTGTACGTCTACTCATAAGCCGCTGTGCTAGACTGGTGTCTAGGCCTTGTGTGGGTGTGTTTCTGTGGTCCAGTATAGACAGGTATATCTCTGTACCTGCCTGTTTTGCCTTTTGCATGAGTCTTTTGCCACAATATTTACACTGGACTGAGCTCACAGGGAGTGTGGACCTTGCTCTGCCTTTCACAGATACTGCATGTACTGAGGCATCACTGGTGCCCTCCATCATCTTCAGCCTGTCTTTAGTCAGCTCAGCAGCCCTGCAGATTTGTATACATTTCTCCAAAGCCAGCTCTTCCTCCCTCAGTAATCTTTCTCTGAGGTGAGAGTCTCTGATGCCACACACTATCCTGTCTCGGATAAGGGAGTCCCTGATGTCCCCAAATCCACAGGTTGCAGCCAGTCTCCTCAGCTCTGTCACATATCTGTCCACACTGTCCCCAATCTCCTGATTCCTTGAGAAGAACTTGTATCTCTCCACTGTCTCATTCTTTTTGGGGTCACAGTGCTTATCAAATGCTTGCAGTATGTCTGTCAGTGCCATGCTGTCTGTGAGCAGGGTCTCAGCTAGTTCTCTGCCTTTTTCCCCAATCAAGTAATAAAACAGCTTTACTTCCCTCTGCTCATCTCTGGGTGCCACTGTCAGGTCCACATACAGAGTAAACTCTTCCTTCCAGTGTCTCCATGTCTGTGAGAGATTGGAAGAAGTGACATCCAGTCTCTGAGGGGGTTTCAGGCCACTCTCCATAGTGCAGTCTGATAGGGAATCTGTACTTACAGTTGCTGACTCTCTGTACAGTTCTAGTGTCACACAATCTGTATTTGTAGACAGAAGACTTGCTATTCAGAGGTCCAGTGCCCAGCTGCCACCATGTTCTGTTTGTCGATCCTGCTCAGATGCTCACACACTGTAGTTAGTAGGAGACATTTTATTAGGCGCTCATAGCTGCCATTATACATGTGTCTGCATTAGAACTACAACCAAAGAGAGGCAATAACACAGTTGTACCAGTATCTAAGTAGTGAGACCCCTAGAGGCCATACACAGCATATAACATATTGCTACACTGCTGCAAAATAAGTGTCAGTCAGGAATTTGATCTGATAATTATTTAATTGGCATTAATATCTACCACAGGTCAAAGATGAATATATAAAGAATATGTGCACACACAACAGTATACTGAAAGGTGCTTATAGCAAAATGCTTATCTATATCTATCTGTTAAAAACCATAGACAAGCACCAAGAGAGAACACAGCATGAATTCTAAAATGACATGCAGTCTGACAAAATCAAAAAAATATAATTTGGTTCAAAAGAAAAGGAAGTACTAACTGGAAAGTGAACATGAACAATGTGTGTAATGGAAAAATATTCAATTAGAAGATGGATAAAGCACATACAACATAGGACCACTACAATGGATTTCCATACAATAAAAGTATCTGAAAGTCTAATCAATACACATGCCCAAGGCTACTGAGAGCATAAAAATGAAAAAACAAACGTACAAAGCAGCAAGAGAAAAGTGAGGCCACAGGGAAAAAAAGAAAGTGAAAAGAAGTGGAATGCATGTCATGAGCTCTACAGACAAAAAAAGAAAGGAGTAGAAAACTGTATTATCCCACCTGACAGGCAATTAAGGCTAGTCTGTATGTATTTAGCTGAAAAGTGGCAAGCAAGCGAGGACTCACCCATTGACAGCATACAGGAGTTTGTGTGTTCATAATTTGCACACTTTATCTGTGTAAATGCTTGTGTAGCAGTACCCCCATAGGAGCTAGCAATTTTTGTAGGTCCTTAGGTCTTTCTCCTATAATTGCCGCGCAGCCAGGCACACAACCATCGCTCTTTGGCTCAGTAACAAGTCTAGGCTGTTCTTTTTGCTGGTTTTTCTTTTTTTTGAGCAACTGGGACAGGGTTGAGGGAATTGAGTGGGATAATGCAAAAAGTAAATGATGCACAGGTTGAAGACAGTAAACTCATTTCTGAAAATCTGAAGCAAAAGCCCTTGCAATAGCAAACTGTGGACTTGAATTTGTAGTAAAAGCAGTTAAACGCAGACTTCTTTAGAGCAACAAGAGCAGAGTCCCTTCACAAAGAACTAGATAGACTAAGCTCAGGAGATCAGCTGATGTCATCTTTGGTCAAATACACACAGCTGACTCTCTAGCACAGGAGGGGTGGCAGTAACCCAAAGTCTCTAAGAGCTCTCACAGCAGTTTGTACTCACAAATGTCCAGGGAAAGTTGGTTGCCTCCTTCCAACATCCATGCAAAGCCTCTCCTGTGATCGAAGACTACATCTTCAATAGATAGGCCGTCAGTCAGCTTTTTGTAGTTTCAGCATCCAGGCTCTCAGGCCCACTCACCTCATGAATACCGTATTTTTCGCTCCATAAGATGCACTTTTTTCCCCCCAAAAAAGGGGGGAAAATGTCAATGCGTCTTATGGAGCGAATATGGAGCGGCCAGTCCGGTATTTCCACCGTGGCCATGTCAGAATACCGGGCCGGCCGCTCAGCTCTGCAGCGGGACCCTATGGAGATGACTGCTGACCTTTGGGGAGGTGGGGAGCGGGTACCTGAATTTGACAGGTACCGACTCTTACTTCTTTGTTCTTTGATCTTACCTGTTCCTCTATCCAGCGGCGCGCTGTCTTCCGGCTTCTGTAGTGTGGGCACTGGGCATGACAGCCGGGTGCCAAGTGCGCATGCACAAGAAGCGGTGCTTTTTGTGAATGGTAAGGCGGTACCTGGGACACATGACAGATCCCAGAAGCCGCCGGACCAATCACAAAGCGCAAGTGCTTCTCGCTCATGCGCACTGGGTACCCGGCTGTCATGCCGAGCGCCATTACAGAAGCCGGGAAGACAGTGCGCGGCAGGATCAAGGAACAGGTAAGATCAAACAAAAACTCTGCGGAAGTAAGAGCGGGTACCTGTCAAATTCAGGTACCCGCTCCCCACCTTCCCAAAGGTCAGCAGTCATTTTTACTGTCCGCAGTCTCTGGTCATCCCTGTGCTGTCCGCAGTCTCTGGTCATCCCTGTGCTGTCCGCAGTCTTGGTCATCCCTGTGCTGTCCGCAGTCTCTGGTCATCCCTGTGCTGTCCGCAGTCTCTGGTCATCCCTGTGCTGTCCGCAGTCTCTGGTCATCTCCTGTACTGTGTCTGCAGTCCATTAGTTCAGAAATTTTTTTTTTTCCTGTTTTCTGCCTCTAAAACCTAGGTGCGTCTTATGGTCAGGTGCGTCTTATGGAGCGAAAAATACGGTAGCAAACACATGGCAGTGCTGCCTGGGGGGAAGCAAGCCCTCCGGGCTGGACTTCCCCTCTGCAGGCATAGACACAGAAGCTTTGTGTTCCTGGGTATTTCTACAGATTCCCAGCAGCCTTCAGGGTCACCCTCCCTGGGATTGACCAGGACTGCATAAATATTCTTACTGCTATTTGCTTTGCTCCACACCTATGTTCCAGAGAATTCTGCCGCTCTCTGGAAAGCAGAAGAAGCAGGCAAACCAGCAGCAGCTGAAACACTGAGTCAACCTAAATAATGGCATGCAGTTACACTGATAACAGTGAGCACAACTAAATGTATCTAACACAACAATTACACCCACACTGGTTACAGTAATACGAGCTAAATTTACCTAGCAAACGAAAATACAGTTCCACTGAACACAGAGAGCCAGCATGAAATTAACTATCTAGGAGGGTGCTACACTTGCTTCCTTGAAAAAAACTGTAAGGAACCTAAAGAGCAATTCCAGTCAAAACCTAATTAAGCTTAAATCTACTCCTGTCCCCATTCTAACCCTATTCCATCTACCCTGTAAAAGGAAAGATGAGCATACCATCTATTCTAAAGCCGTTCTGGTCACATGATTTCTCCAGGGGCGGCTTCAGTGTAGAGGAGAGAGCAGCAACAATGGCTGCAGAGCCTGGGTGATGCCTTCACCCATAGGCTTACTATGGGGCATCCTTTTTTGGCTGTCTTTCCTCTATACTGAAGCCGTCGCTGGGACCTGATCATGTGATCGAACTGGAGTGACTTTAGAATAGATAAGTATAGACTTCTTTCCTTTCACAGGGTAGATAGAGTAGGTTTAGAATGGGGTGGGAGTAGATTTTAGCTTTTGACTGGAGTTACACTAGGTATAACATATTTCATAGCATTGCATAAAATTAAATAATTCAATCATTATAGAAATATATCAAGCATTTACACAAATTCTGAAATTCCAGAAAATACATGTAGTGCTTTATTGCACTAAACATGTAGATAAAAAAGGGAACCAGAACCTTCGCTAAGTGGAAGAGAGGGTTTGATAATAAACTCAGGACAGGGCTTCTGTGAACACAGGGGATTCTCTTCCTGGGAAATTGAAAAGCAATCTAATCAAAGTAATTGGGAGCAGAGGAACTACTGCAATTCACATATAGCATTAACTGTAAGTATATAAATACACCACCAGCATACAAATAATAAAGGCTTTATATAAAAATAAATTAATAATACTACATACATTAAATGTACAAACAGGTATTATCAAAAAAGGGCCCAACAGTGCACCTATACACGGGTAGTTAATAACAGAGATACCTCAAGATGGATGTCGTAGCAAAATTCAGTTGCACTGGCCCCAAAAAATTATCAGGATGCAGTGTCCATCTTTGTGTCAAGGACACAAAGATAAGCAGTGATGGGGAGATCCTCCAACTGTTGTCCAACAAGTCTGGAACACAGCTTCTCACCAACAGAAAATGAATACTGATATACTGAAAACCAAGTCCTCTACCGTGTCTCATCCAGTCATAAACAAACACGAAAAAATGTGGGAAAGCATCCCCACAAAAATGTGTTGGACTTTACAGGTACATCGCTAGAAAAAAATTAAAATAACAGAAAACTTAATTACAATCACGTGCGTCGTGACTTCATCAGGGTTAACGCCCACCGGTGATCAGAATCCCTTTATATAGGATCCAGCCTAATCATCATCCTTAGTAAGAGGGCGGGCTCCCGGCGGCCATTTTCCCGGAGTCCACCACACTCACCAATCTTTTAAGCTGCGGGAACATTATACTATGCATCTCCCTGGTATATACCTCGATTGTTGGCACTGCTATAAACTTACATACAGTGTCCAACTTACCAAAGTATAACTATATGGAGTGCAAAAACTGAACTGAACAATAAAACTTAATTTATTTATATTTTATATTATACCACAAACATCGTACTCTATATAGAAAAAAACAGTTTTTTTTATTATTGATTCATTAAAATCCTGTGATCTGTATAAGAATCACTTTATTTATTAAAATCACCATACTAGATAAAAAACAACTAGAGGAAATATATAGATAAATAATTAAATATTAAATGGACCTGAGGAATTAAAAAATAAATAAAAAATATATTATATGAACATAAATGCATATTTGCTACTCTTCAATCTACATATTGCACTAGTGCCACCATTTATGCAAATGCATGCACTGTGCATTTCCCCAGAGGATGATCATATAAAAACCCAAAACTTAAATTAGATAAAGGCCAAAAACTTAATTTAATTATATTTTAAGCTCTACTTTATTCTAAAGCAACCACTCTATTTATTAAGCCTCCAGGCTAGGTGAAAATAACCCAAAGAGAATATAAAATCAAAATTAAATTAATAAATTAATATTCAAATAAAGAAGAAAACAAACAAAAAAAAAAACATTATCATTATACGCCATGCAAATACACTCATGGCTTGGGTTCACAATAATAGACATACCATATATATAAAAATATAAATATTACCATCCTAAAAAATTAAAAATAAATAAAATTTTAAGTTAAAATAACTCCACATTGAGTCCATAAGGTGCCTGGGTATGTGTCAGGGCAGGAGCTGAGGAACGGACAGGCAGGCCTAAACAATGTAACGCACTGGCTGACGACAACCACCACCCCACAGACCGAAGTCCCTCAGGGCGCGGAGTCTAAGTCCCAGGCTGCCCTTCACCAGGGCCCCTGATGGTGGGGATGGACTTGACGCAGCCAGGAACCAGGTCGCGGCCCCCAAGACACCTCAGTTGCGGTAATGGCCGCCGCCAATGGCGTGTAGCTGGTGGAAAAGACAATAGAGTAGTCAGGCAGGCCGGGTCGACAACAATGGGACAAAACGGTACAGGACAGCAGACGAGAATCACAGGTCACGAGCCGGGTTCAGCAACAGAGGGTCAGATCAAAGGAGAACAACAGAGTAATAGACAACACAAAGACACAAGACACAAGTGCAAAGGAGCATGTGCGGACCACAGGCTTATAGGCATCAGCCACACCCCTCTGGGGGATGGACCTCAGAGACCTGAAGGCATAAAAAGGATTACCCCATACCATGCTCAGCAGAAATCCAAGATGGATGCCCAGCAACATGGAGTTAAAATATGGAACCTCTTGGAAAAGGTAGGACCTTGACAGTCACTCCTCCTCAAGGTGGCGCCCGACTCCCCCTCCGCGGATCCAACAAAAAGGTTTCTGAGGAAAACGAGCTGGTATGAAAAGGTGGGGGGGGGGTGGGGGGGGGGCGCGGATTGATGGGGGTGCAGTGAGCTTACATGGACATCCGCGGAAGGAACCCAGAAACAGAAACGCTCCTCGGGAACCATAACCGCGCTCACATGAACCAGGAACTGTAATCGACCAGCCGCACCACCAATCGAGAGTCCCAGGATCCGGCTCACCTCATACTCCTCATGACCGTCAAGGGATGGGGGGAGGCCGGGGGGGGAGAGTAGTGAAAGGGCGATTGTCAGAATCAGAGGTTTCAACAGGGATACATGAAAGATATTGGAGATCCGCATCCCAGGGCGGAAGGGCAAGGGGCATAGGCCACCGATTCACCTTGCGGAGAATGCAGAAAAGGACCGACAAAATGGGAGCTAGTTTGGGTGTGGGCACCTGAAGATTGGAGTTGCGAGTAGGACAACCACACCCGATCGCCGACCGTGGTATGAAAGGAGGCGGGCAAACCGTCTGCGATCAGCCTGGAACCTTCTGGCGCTGAGATCTGAGTCCCGTCAAGGCCCTCTGGATCTGCCCCCATGGAAGAACCAGGGCAGCAAGATGGTTCTCCACAGCCGTATGTCCCTGTGGGGTGAGAACCTCTCAGGTAATACGCGCGCGGATTGTAGAACCCATAGTTTGGCCATGAAAGAGACATCTCATACCCGGGGGAGGAGGAGTTGACCGTAACCGAGTTCCTGATACGTGAGGTAGAACAGTGCCCAAGGCGGGAAGGCATGAGATCGGCCCAATCGTCCTGATGGTCCGAGATATAACACCCGCGAAGGGAATTGCATCTGGAGGGGGGGCAGGGGCCTGATTGAGGAACGCTCCGCAGCCCCATTGGACTGCGGTGGTAGGCTGAAGAAAAGGAGAGACTAATACCCAACTGAGAGCAGAAGGGCGACTCGCGGGACTGATCCAGAATCTGGACACGAACTGACTCCCGCATGCGGGTCCGAGACAATCACCTTAGGCAACGCCATGCAGGTGAAAAATCTCCCTGGAAAAGGCCGTGGCCAGTTTCTTGTCGGTGTTGGTAATTTTTCCTGAGTGGAAATGAAATGTCACATGTTTGGAAAACCGATCGACGACCAGTGAGGATGACCGTTATGCACCCGAGACACATCCGGGTGAGGTCTACAATAAAGTCCATACCTAGGTGTGACCAAGGACGCTCCCCATTGGGATGGATTGCAGAAGGACCCAAAGGGAGATGCTGTGGAGACTTTATTCTGGGCACAGATCTCGAGTACATGCCGCTACATATAGAGGCAGATGTCGGCACGGAGGGTTGGCGCACCAGAATAAGCGAGAGATGACCCAGCACAGCTGGATCTTCCCCGGTTGCCCG